TACCCCTACGCACATACGTGTTACTCGGAGCTGGAGCTGCCCTTGTACTCAACCAAAGAGATCATGCACACCAGGCTGACCAAGGCTCTGAGCAGCAACAAAATCATCTTCAAAGAAGCTGGGACTGAACTCTGATGGTGTCTGGTCTGAACAGAAGACTTAACATTGTCATACAGCACTTTGTAAACCAAGAAGCAGCCTTTGTAGTATTGCTACTATACCTGTTTCTTAACAAACTGTATGGCTGGGAAATTCTTGATAAATAGGATGTATTGTGTGGTGGGTTAATATCAGAAATCCTTCCCTAATAGCAGAAACGCTGTTATATATACTCCATTTTTATTTGTATGTGGAGGCGTGTGGTGTAGTGGGTTGTGGGTTGTGGGTTGGTGTTCGGATCAGGGGGTCACAGGTTCGAACCCCACTGCAGTCAGCATGTCGTTGTGTCCCTGGGCAAGACACTTCACCCCAAATTGCTCCTGTGGGGATTGCCCACAGTATTGAGTATGTAATGGCGCATTTCCACTACGCGGCCTCGCTCGGCCTCGCTCGGTATGGCTAGGCCTCGTTAGGACTGGCTCACTTTATGGCGCATTTCCATTACAGTTTAGGAACTGGGGTAGTATCTATAGTAACGCAGTGTAGGCGGAGCCGTGACGTCATCTTCAATGAGAACCCCAGAAAAACAACACAGCCGTTAGCTGTTAGCACTCAGAGCTCACAGCTCCTCATATCTGTTCAGAAACTAGACAAAAGTTAAACAAGTACAAACCACAGACTGTCTGTGTCATGGCGAATACAGTCGCTGGTTTATTTATGTCTGTATAGGCCGTTGTTGTGAGTGTGGACGGTCGGAGCATATACTGCGTTAGCTTAGCCAATCTCCATTTAGAAAACACGCATTTTAAAAGGTTTTTCGCCTGCCGTCTGTCTGCAGACTTGTCAAAGCATTAATTCATGGTTTTTACTAACCGGTATCAGTATGTTGTTACTTCGGCATCATTTTGAAACGTGTATTACAATTAAATCACGGTCAAATATGTCCATCTTGTTGTAGTTGTAGCCCCCTTGCCAGCGATTCTCTCTCTAGTTTAGCATACTCAGCCCGACACAGCCTCGTTGTCTCTGGCCCTAGAACCACGATTTTATGAGGCCAGAAAAACTGTGAATTAGGACCCGCCGGCCGGTACTAGGCCAAGTGGAAACGCAACCAAAAACGGGCCGCTGACGTCACGGCCCTCTTAAACCGTGCTCCGCGCTGTAGTGGAGACGCGCCATAAGTCGCTTTGGATAAAAGCGTCTAAACAAGTGACATGTAATGTATGTATAATGTATGTACATATTTAAGTATTACATGATCTTCTAAGATGAATAAGGGTGTGACTCTTTTTGTATTATTTTGGTAAGTTAACCATGTAACAAATGTTACATACAATATGTTTAAACATAATACTCCTTTTATTTGTGTTCTGGAGACTTTTATTGTTGAGTTAAGTTTTTCAAAGCCTTAATATAGGAATCATTTGTTAATTAACATTATACTGTATGTTGATGCAATAAAAATGACTTCCTACTGTGCTCCTCGGCTGTTGAATAACTGCTAAAACATACACATCTTAAGATATAACACTGTACTGTGGAACTGGTTTATTTACTGCAGAATCTCCTCTTATATAATTTACTGTGAAATAATCACCTCATACATTATGTTCTTTGATGATTGGGTGTGAAAACTCTACCTACCCTCATCCTGAATACTCAGTTTAGCGGTAAAGCAGTAGTAGGCCTATTCGACAATTGTTAATTGCTAATTTACCAAGCCCAATGTTATTTTGAACTAAGTATTGGGAATTAGTTTCTTCCATATTGACTAAACAAACTTATAACTTTTAAAATAATTGTCAAACACAATGTGATTACTAAATATCCCCCCCCCCCCTCTCTCAAGGTGTTCGGTTCTTTGCAGGTGGAACAATGACTTTATGGGACTGTATCTCGAAGATATAAAGATATTTGTAAACTGTTATCTTTTCACCAACTATTTTAAGGAAACAAATTTCATTTATGTTTTGCTCTTTTCCTTACTTAATTGCATCGATGGGAAGTAACTAGTAAGTAGCCTACATTTACTCAAGGACTGTACTTAAGTACAATTTTGAGATACTTGTCCTTTACTTGAGTATTTCAATGTTATGCTACTTTGTACTTCTACTCCACTACATGTATTTAATACCTAAATTAGTTAATTTGCAGATTTTGATTAATAAGTGTGCTGGAGGCTGATGCGTTGACTGGGACAAATGGAAAGATGAGGCTGACGAGACTGAGGAACCTACGAAGAAAGAAGTAGGGGCAGAGACATAATCACATGTTAACCCTTTAATTGCCAGACCAAGAAGAAATCTATGGGGAAACTATTTCTTTGCATTTTTTTATCAAATAGGACAAATAACCACAAACCATTTTTTTTTTTTGACTGACCACACAGTTTTGTTTTTATGAGCCTCTACCAACTGGTCGAGCTGGCCTTGGTAAAAGTGAATTTTCAACAATCATCATACAGTACAGTATTGGTATGCATCAAACTCAAATAAAACACAAACTCAAATAAAAAAAAATCTTTTATGGAAGATGAGCAATATATACAACCAGATATATTCATAAAAAATTATAAATTATAATTGTAAAAAAAAAAAGAAATGGAAAAAAGTAATGGAAAGTGTTTTTCATTATAAAAAAAATAACTTGCTCATCTTACTGTATATGCTGAATTGGCTTAACAACAAACAACTGGCCTAACAGCAAATGTCTACATCCTGTGTTGGCCTAACTTGCTCATCTGTGTGCAACTTTGGGCTGCATTTCATGCATGAAAGGTGCTATATAAATTAGTATCACTCTTTCACTCTGAGACTCATAAGGCAGTACTAGATTTAGTAATATTACCATGAATCTAGCTATTTACCATATTTGATTGGAAAACATCTCTGAAACTCTGAAAAAGTCGTATTGCTAGTTTACAATATGAAGGCCAATTCGACCGGTTGGTTGAGGATATTTTCTAAAATATAATTACACCCTTGTTACAAAAATGTTTTGTGCATCAAGTTATGTTCAGTAAGTGCTCTGACACTAATATATGTCAAAAATGATATGGTTACCTTACAAAAGTTGACCAAAAAGAGTGATTTCTTCATGAGTGATTTTTAGCATGCCAACTTTCTCAGTGGAAGCGAGCTGAAGGGCATTCTGTTCGAACCACAGTGACATCTAGAGGTTGTATTGTGCATAACATGTCAACCAAACGATAGAGCTGGCTGAATCAGATGGAGTTACACTTTTTTTTTTTTTTTCAACAAGATATCAAGACACAAAATGTGCTCTACCAAATGGTGGCGCTGGCTGTTAAAGGTTAAGACATCATCATAAGAGGCCAACAAGAGTGTGTCACTTTGCTGAAGGATAGACCAGCTATCCAGGATAGTCTCTGAAGATTTCCCAAGGGGTAAAAGCTGCTGCTGGAGTACTGACTGGAAGTAGTGCTGATATCATGTCTACCATATCCTCTTAAAATACTCTGTCCAACAATATAAGTCGAATGACACATTTTTATTTAAGATGCATTCTTGTACTAGGGAGGGGAATTTGAAAGAGAATACCTGAAAAAGTACTTGTTAAATTAGTATACTGAGTCAAACAGTATCACTCTCATTAAGAATTTATGGCAGAAAATCATTTTATCTCTCATCAAAGATAGCAGAAAACATGCATTATTGTACGCAGGAGGGGAGTTTGACAGAGGATCACTCAAAAACTACACAGTCAAAGTACTCTAAATAGTATTTATCAATCCTCAACCTCCAAGCTGTTTTAATATAGTTTTGAAGAAAAAACCCTCGATGCTGACTTGACCACGCAAACGGGAAATACGGCCGCATCAATCCAGCAGTGTCAGTAAAGGCCCTGACACACCAGGCCGATATCGGCCGTCTTCGGTTGTCTGGCGACAACGCGTTCCTTGTCGCCCAAAGTCAATTTGGTGTGTCCCGAACCCCCGAACTTTATTTGGCCTTTCACGGTCGACACCCGGCCGATTCAACATGTTGAATCGGCAGATTGTTTTAACTGAATTACCGTTTTTCCGTTTTGGGGCAAAATTGAAAAACAAAAAAACGACCCGTTTCTGTTTTATTATTAGTTTCAATTAGAACTAAAAAACAAACGGTTAAAACGTACCTTGGTCGCTAACATTATTTTATTCGTTATAGCTTTTACTTTCAATTTCACTCGCGCTCTGTCTTTTGGACTGATGGGAATTATGGCTCTTTGAAGGGAGCCGGATCTTATGGCTCCGTTCCTTCCAAAGAGCCGTTCAAAAGAGCCGTTCAAAAGAGCCCCCTTTTTTTTAAAGGGGGCGGGGTTACTAGGTTTATCTGCGAAATAATCACCAGGATAATGATTGACTGTATTGCCAGACCTAATGTCAATAATCGGCATTGTAAACATGACACAAGGTGGCGCCATATCCATGTCATTCATGTCAGTGAATGTACTTTGAATGTACCCTCTGTATGTGTTAAGTAAATAAAGTTGCCTTGCCTTGAATGAAATTCATGCAACTCTTAATATTAGATACTGTGTTTTTAAGTGGTGATGGAGATTATTTGTTGACCCTGCTTTAAAGGATATTTTGCCTTTTACAAATGGTGCGCTTTATCACTGCCTGGGTTTTGGTTGAAGTGCATCCAAATGCTGCTGCGTTTTCACGTTTGGCTCATTTTCCATCCGAAAAACACGTCGTCTACCTGTCCTGTACCACTTGTTATGACTTCTCTCTCGCGCGTATTCCGTTAAGACCCACCCCACCTCACTCCTCGTGCTGAAACCTACCAATCAGAGTAGGGGCGGGTCTTCACAGAATACGTTTGGGGAACAAAATCAAGCTTTTTAAGGCGAGTGGGTGTTGGCAGACCAATGATTGAACGATAACAAGAACGGCTCTCACCAAGTAGGACTCGGTTTCCCTCGTTCGTACCAAAGAGCCGTTCAAAAGAATCGGCTCGTTCGCGACCGACACATCACTCCTTTTTATTACCGGACACCTCATCTAGTGGAAATAATGTTTTCCTGTTACATATTTGTGGTGGTTTCTTTGATTAACTTTCTGCCAGACTTCCACGTTTCCAGTTGTGGTAAGTTTTTCAAAAGTGTGCTTTTATAAATATGTTATAGTCGGTTAATCTCACTTAACACGTGGCTTGTGCGGTCATTTATTATTTTATGATTCCTATGATGTTTTAATGTGTGTCAAGCACTTTGACTATGTCTGTGAAAAGCGCTTTATAAATACATTTGACTTACTTACTTACTGACTTACTTACTTCCAATGTGATACCTTGTATTATAAGAGGGCGTTTCACACAGACATCCTGTCAAATACAGAATAGTGGTTTGTTTGAAAAGCGATTTTTATTGTCATACAGCACTTGTATTGTATCTGATTTAGGGACAATGGTTTGCCAAACTGTGTTACTACTGTATATCCCAGTGAAGTAGTAGTGTCGCCTTGTCGATATGTGTTTCCATCCTCTATTGCTTAGTGTAGGCTATTGTTCATATGGAAATAAGAAAATAAGTTTTATCTCGTTGTTAACAATCTGAATATACTTAACATTGTGTGTAACCAGACTTGGTGCTCTGGTGGTGGGCACTGTATATAATTAAGGTAATGCCACTAGAGAAAATGACTTTGGAGTAGAGTTTAATAAGATACAGTCAGTTAGAAAAGTGAAAATGTGAGATCCTTAAAAACAACAAACTGTGAACTGATCAGGAGAAAATCCACAGACCTCAGTAATAAATAAGTTACCATGATTGAGTTAGTTAGTGATTGACTTCCAGTAATGCAAATGTAGGTTATACTATTGCTAAATGTTGTATCTGATTTAGGGAAAATGATTTGCCAAGATGTGTTTCCATTGGTTACTATTTAACCCAGAGCAATGATAGTAAGCACCCTAATGTAGCTTATTGTTTATATCGTACATCCTCTTTTCTATAGTGCTGGCTAGCTCATACTGTACGTTCATGTTAAAAAAAAAACACAATTTTTTTAATCTGAATGTCATTCTTAACATCCTAGTGTTGGTGTAACATGTGTTGGTGGTAGGCACTACTTATATCATGCTACTAAAACAACCTACAGTAAGTTATAAAAGTGAAAATGTCTAATTCAGATCCTTTAAAATAACTATCAGTGTGAACTGTTGTAATCAGAGGAGAATAGGCACAGTATTAAATAAGGATACCTACAACCTTATTGAGCAGTGGTTTACTAGAAGTGAATGAATGCAAATATAGTTTATAGTCTTTATTTATTTTGGTGAGTGTTCTGCTTGATATACTTTTGTAATGTGTTTGTGCAAAATAACATGAGAGAAAGAAAAACTGCTAATGTTTACAGATCATTTTAAGTTGTTCTATTTGGGTAAAATATAAATAGATTAAATAAACAGACAAAACATATTGTATGTAGCACTTATTAACTTGCCAATGTTTGATTTCATTGCTCATTTTAAATTAGGCTGCTCCAAATTAGAAAGTACTAAAACATGTAAAATGAAAAAGCCTGAATGTGTTTTTGTACGGTTATGTTAGAGTAACGCTGTTTAAACTCTATATTGTGTTATTTGCTGTGTGTTACAGATCAAAACTGTGCAGATAAACCTCGGTTCACTCCATCCAGACTGGTGGTGCAGTTTGGGAAGCCGACCTCCGCACTCTGCTCCGTGTGTCAGCCTGGATGCTATGTCAGCTTATTTGATATTGAAAGTCCTATTGGAGCCTTGACAAAAAATGGAACTGAGGTTACATGGACGGTCGACGAAATGACTGAGTGGATCAATTCTCTATCGTGCTATTATACCAATGACACTACTGGTGTGCAGTGTTGCAGCGACCTGCCTATAACTGTCTACAGTGAGTCACAAAAACTGTTTCTATTTAGTTTTTCATCATTAATGATCCAACAAAGTGGTGGGAAGTAAGTACATTTCCTTAGGTAATGTACACTTTTGAGGTACTTCTACTTTGTTTAAGTATTTCAATATTATCCTACTTAATCCACTATGATTCGCTAGCCGATATGATACTGTTATTGGTTAGTAATTACTTTGCAGGTTTGTATTATTGATATGAGTATAAATGAACTTTTCAATCATGATGGACTATCATCATGACAGTATATTACCTATATGTCATTATATTTCCAGTAGGTGACCCTTCCTTAATCGACTTACAATAAGTCATTAAAAGTCATTAAATGTAGCTACGCCTTTACCAGCTGCACAATTTAAATGATGAATGTGTCACTCATTATAATCAAATTACATGATATATTAATCTCAAAAAGGCCTTCTGCATAATAAGTGCTTTTTGATTCTTGTACTTGAATGAATGCAATGCTTTTACTCAGGAGAGAATAAGTCTAAACTGTGGCATTCTTACTTTTACTCATAAGTAAAACAATTTGTCCGCCTCTAATCTAAAGTCTAAACTGACGGTGTTTTAATATTTTTCATGGAGATACTGAATGTGTCAGTTTGTCTCCACAGAGCCTCCAGATAATGTTTCCTTCAGCGTTCACCCTGATGTGCCGATGTCTGAGGGTCAGCAGTATACTCTGCAGTGTGAAGTACGGGATGTTGCTCCTGTGGAAAACCTCAGAGTGACTTTCTACAGAGGACAGACGGCACTGGTTGAACTAAAGAGCAGCAAGAGGGAAAAAGACGAGCCGACACCAGTGAGTGAGGTCTTCACTTTGAACATCACCTCCACTAAAGAAGATGATGGAGTCCAGTTCTGGTGTGAAGCAAAGCTGGAGCTGGGAGCTGAAGGACCACAGCCTCCTCCAGTGGTGGAGTCAGAGAAACTCACTGCTGCTGTCCACTGTGAGTCTGACAAGATCATTTAAACACCCTAAAGGTCACCTATTATGCTAAATCCACTTCTTCATGTCTTTTCTACATCAACATGTGTCCCCTCTGTGGAAAGAGACTCTGAAAGTTTCAGGAAAAAAGATTCTCTCTCTTTTTGTCCTGATCCATTTATATAAAAACCTGTCTGAAAATGAGCTGATCAGATTTTGGCCACTTCATGATGTCATAACAATGTGTTGGCTTGTGTAACCATTAGCCAATCACCAACCAAGGTACCCCCCCCCACCCCCCACCTTATCACCTGAATCTCCTCCTAGAGCACCATTGAGTTCTTTTTAACCAAATATCTCTCAGAGGGGCGTGGGGAGGGGCTCCTTATTTTCATCTAAAGTAACAGACAGAGAATCAGCACTTTTGAAACAGGGCTGAAACAGAGGGGATTATGGGATGCTGCAATGATCTGTTTGGTGTTTGGAGCCAAACACTTCAGAGACATGTTCTGTATATATCTGAGACCTATAATATATTGATGAAAAACAGTATAATAGGGGACCTTTAGAGGCCATATTCTGCTTTTAGGGGTGTTCCTTTCCTGTGGAGTGATATATAGCTTTGTGTGCATTCGTCTCCTTGAAACGCCTCCATTGGACTCCTTTGTTTACTTCTGTAACATAAAAACATCACTATGTAACACTGGCGCTTCTTTTGGCTAGCGCTTCATCACATCTCTAAGCGGTTGACCAACCACAACAGAGCCGGCCAGCTAACCAATCAGAGCAGAGTGGACTCTGGTTTCAGACAGAGGGTGAAAAGAGGTGCTGCAGCACAGGCAGTATGAGAAAAATAAAGAGCTTTTTGAATATTAAAGCATTGAGACATGTCACAGGAGAGGAACAGAATACAAATATGAACCTTAAAATGAGCAGAATGTGACCCCTTTAACACCATTCGTTATAAGGTTGGCCTCTTCTGCAGTGATGGAAGAAGTGTTCATGATCTTTAACTTAGAGCAGCTCATATCAATAGTATAGCGGCTCTAGGAAGTAAAAAAAAGTCAGAGGGGTTAAACACAGGAAGTTCACACTTCCTGTGATTAAACAAAACGGCTCCCCCTCCTTCCGTTCACTTGACAATTTATTATAAACAAGGGCAACAATATAGTACCAGCAGTTGAAGTGAGATGGTGATTGTGACTGCTGTGAAATTGCGATAAAAATGTGGGTAAAAGTTGCAGCAGAATAGAGACCTTGCATATGGCTCCTACAAATACAATTATAATTGAAATGGATCACATGCAAAAGAGACTTTAATTTAATTGTATTCACAGGGGTGACAAAAAAATCCATCAGAAAGCTGCAGCTGATTCAGAACGCTGCTGCTCGAGTCCTCACTAACATTACAAGAGTGGATCACATCAGTCCGGTTCTGAAGTCTTTACACTGGCTTCCAGTCGGCCAAAGAATTGATTTTAAAGTACTATTGCTAGTTTTTAAATCACTAAATGGTTTAGGACCAAAGTATATTAACGATCTCCTGTATAATTATGAGCCATCAAGGTGCCTCAGGTCTTCTGGGACGGGTCTGCTCTCGGTTCCGAGAGTAAGAACAAAACATGGAGAGGCAGCGTTTAGCTATTATGCTCCGACAATCTGGAACAAACTTCCAGAATCATGCACGTCTGCAGAAACTCTTAATATTTTCAAATCGAGACTGAAAACATATATTTTTGCCGCTGCTTTTATTTGAGCTGTTCATATTCGCACTGCAGTATGCCATTTAAACATGTATTGCATACATGTTGTGTTTATTTTATTATCTTTGCTTTTTAATGCCTGTTGTAAAATGCCATTATATAATGTGTTTTTACTGTATTTATTCTTAAAATGTCTTTTAATTTATTTTGTAAAGCACTTTGAATTGTCGCGTGCTGAAAAGTGCTATACAAATACACTTTCCTTTGCTTGCCTTAATACTAAGGGAACCAGAAATGCCAACTTATTTTTGGGTTTAAGGATTCCTGCACTTCTCGTTAATGTGTTTATATTCTCATATTGGTTGACGTGTTGTCTTCCTCCTCAATCCACTCACAGATAAGCCTCAGCTAGAGGCATCCGTACCTCCGGATCCGATCATCCTCACAGAAGGAAACCCTCTGACGCTGAACTGCTCGTCTGTGGGAAACCCCCCACCATCGTATACATGGACGCCCTCGTCCCCGTCAAGAATCACTTCCCCCTCCAGTGGCAGCGTCTTCTTCATCAACTCTATAACTCCTGAAGATGAAGGGTTGTACACCTGTTACGTCAGCAATGAAAAAGGATCAATCACTGTTCAGTTTGACGTGAAGGTCCAAGGTGAGTTCAAACGGCTTTTTTAATTTAGTACAGGCAAAAGATGCACAGGACATGACAGTGAGAGGAAATGACAAAACCATATTTATATTTAATGTAAAATGCTATTTCTTGCACACTTAATGTAAATTGCCCTTCATAGTGTATATTTGCCAGATAACAATCGTTCACTGTCAATATGTATATATTTTACTTTTCATGTAAACTGATGCATGTTCAATATATAAATTAACCTTTAATTAATGTTATAAACAGCAATAAAAAAGAAAAGAAAAGAAAGAACATAATAATATTAATAATGAGGATAATATTACTTTTATAAAAAATTAATAAGATTCATTATCATAATATAATATAATAATACTATTAATAATGTGTATAGTCCTTTATTGTGGATAACAAAATTTACACAAAATAAATAAAATAATTAAAATAATAATAAAAATATATATAATACTAAAAAAATAGCAGCCCAAAAGCTGACAAAAGGCTGAAAAGATAAGTACACATTCCCCTCAGTCAGCTGGCTTTAACGTGGTTGTTCAAGTTGAGTTTTAAGTAAAGTCTTCAGGGTTATAATTGTCGCTGTAAAGTAACCACAAAGTCGCTCTCAGTGTTACTTTCTCACAGCAGTGGAGAGTATTTGGCCTGACCTTTTATATTCTATGTTCCTTTTTTTCTCTACCCTTCTCTCCACAGCCGACAACCTCATACTCATCGTAGGTGTGGTGGTAGCAGTTGTTCTTCTGGCTGTCATTTTGGGGGTGGCTGTATTCATCAGAAAAGGCATGTCCACACGGCGGCGTGAGGACGTGCCGTTATAGACACACTGCTGAATAAGTCTGCTGGAGACCATGACAAAATTGTAAAAATGTTAAAACAAAAAAAGGTTTTAAGTTCAATTTTGAATGTTCCTCGTCTAAATGGGCGACATACATGAAGGGCGATCTGGGGGGGGGAAAAAACTTTTTTCATCCTAATTTTCGGCCTTCATGTAACAAAATTCATAAAGTAAATTTAACACCCTTTTCACCCCGGTTACACTTTTCATTTGCCCTGTACGATGGGCGCTCTAAGAGATTAAAGTGGGGGGTGTTGGCTTATCAGGCGTCCGCAGCTCACAGCCAGAGAATATCGTTTAAAACTGCAGAGATAAAAAAAAAATGCATAAATAAATAAATGTTAACTAGGTAAAAAAAGATATGAATGAACAACAAAAATAAAATACGTTACATTCATTTGTATTGGCTATGGTAGGTTATTGGTTATGTTCACATACTTATTTGATTATTAAAATGTAAACCGATCTTTTTCATATGGGTGTTTTCGAGTTGTTCCCCCTAGATATAGTCTCTAGTAATTCTGCTCAAAGTGCACCAGATTGAAGCATTTTACTGTAAAATGTTCAAACATTTCTTCCCGGGGGCGCATACCTCCGGACCCCCCTAGAGAAGGGGACGTCCACCCCCCAATTAAAACATGTTCATACAATAATAGATACATTTGAAGCCTTCTTTATGTATATAACCAACATGTCAATAAGTTTCTGTTTTTGTAGTGTATTAGTATTATCTTTTCTACTGTATGATTTTCTGGCTGGGGGGGCGGGGGGGCGCTAGCTAAAAATCTTGCCTATAGGGCAGCAAAAACACTGATTTAATAAATATGAATATAAAATGGGACAATAAGTACTCAAATGATTGTGCGTACCAAATTCTAAAAAGGGCACAGCAGCGATTTTTGTTACTATAAAAATGTAATCCTGGAATATTTTATGTAGTTCAATATAATTAACATATCATGTCATAATTAGGCACACAATTATAAAACGAGAGAGAACATAAGAACAGCCGCGCCCCCTCTCCCAATTATTATTGCTATTATTATTATTATTATTATTGTTGTTGTTGCTATAATGCAGGGATATTGCATTTCAAAGAGGTCCAGTGAGAGAAAATATCATTAAAAGCTCTGTTTTCGCTGTCTACCTTTCTCTTTTTTGAGCACGCCATTTGAAATTACTCACATGTTTCTCTCTTCTTGTCTCGTCTCTGTGTGTGTGTTTGAATCTATCGTGCTGACTGTGAGCCTTTCTCATTTCACTAATTCCCCTCCTCGACTCCCCTCCTCGACTCCCCTCCTCGACTCCCCTCCTCGACTCCTATCCTCGTGTCTTAGTCCCGCCCACAGGAGATGCGAGCGGAGGAGCCGAGGAGAGAGGAGGGGAAGCAGCAGGCGGTTAGAGAAATGAGAAATCCTCTCCTCTGAGCGGTCATTTTAAAGAGACGTCCGTTAAATCATCATACATCAATATTTCTTTCTTCTTTTTTTTTTTCATGAATCACTTAAAGGGGACCTATCATGCAAAATGCACTTTGTGATGTCTTTTATACATAAATATGTGTCCCCGGTGCGTCAGGGAACTCACGCAGCGTCAGAAAATAAAACCCTCTCTTTTCCTCCGTACCCAAATCTTTTAAAAACGGGGGTACAACGAGCGGATACAGATTTCCATCCGAACTGACGTGTCCATCCGTGGTGACGTCGGCGGACCCACAGAAAGTTGCTATCAGAAACAATGCCTGTGTAGGTACCATATGTGTTCGGCCTACCATATGTGTTCGGGGTCCGTTACGCTTACCAATGACGTCACGCATTGGCTGTACGGTAACCCAAGAGGACATTTTACAGGGGCCCGTTCTCATGTCTTCAAATGTCCCTCCTCGACTCCCCTCCTCGACTCCTATCCTCGAGACTTAGTCCCGCCCACAGGAGATGCGAGCGGAGGAGCCGAGGAGGGGAACCGAGGAGAGAGGAGGGGAAGCAGCAGGCGGTTAGAGAAATGAGAACTCCTCTCCTCTGAGCGGTCATTTTAAAGAGACGTCCATTAATGATGACAGGAGGCACAGCAGCCCTCTGTCTGATGGACAGATGTGTTCATGACGACTTATATATTTACTTTTAATTCATTCACAGTGCGGTATAATGAGACAATAACAGGCTACAGATGCGGACATACACACAGACACACACACACACACACACACATATATGTATATATTTATATAAATATATACAATTTCAGAATCAAACAGAGCACTCTCATAATAACTTAACACTATCAGAGACTGGATATATCCCCCCCCCCTCTCTGGTCGCTACAATGAGGGAAATAAATGATGGGCCAAAAGTTTTATTTACAAGTATTACAAGTAAGCAGAGGACACCAAACCAACTGAGACCTGTCTGTCCGCTGCATCTACGTAGAGATGGCAAATCCGGATCCTTTTACGGACTCAGGGTCTTCTGAGTCAGTCATTGAAGAGATCCGGATCATACGAGTCATTTGAGTCATATGAGTCAGCATCACCAAGACCGTAGAAATCCTATCGGTGAAACCGAAAAGTTGTTGCATTTCACGAGCATATTATTATTCCATATATTTTGAATATATATATATATATTTGTTTATATATATATAATATCTGCATGTATATTTTCTATTTCGACATGTATATTTTATATTTTATTTTCTTTTTCTTTCTATTCTTGTATATTTTGTATTTTGTTTTGTTTTATTGTAAAATGCCTTTTATGCTGCTGTAACAACAACAATTTCCCAATTTGGGATCAATAAAGTACTATCTATCTATCTATCTATTAAACTGACGTTATATTAACCTCCGCTACACAGTGTATTTTGCTTTAATAAAAAATGTTGATCACAAAAAAAGGGTTATTTTGCGATTTGGCAAATCTGAGTCTGCTGTTGACTCGTGCATGAGGACGAGTCTGCTGGATCTCTGGATCTGCTGCTATATGGTTACGGCTCCGAGTCCGCACGAGTCTGCTCTGCTGTGTCAGGATTTGCGAATCTGCGAATCTGCGAGTCTGCGAGTCTGCTGTGTTGACTCGTGCATAATATAGCGCGGGAGCCGGGTGTTGGAGGAGGGGCTATGCTCGTGGACATGACGAGTATGGATCGCTGGATCTGCTATGCTATTACGGTTAGGAGCCGTCGGCTCCTCTGAGTCCCCACGAGTCTGCAGGAAGTTTCACTGATCCGCGTCCCCTCCCCTGAGCCAAACGATCACTTCTGGCAGGCAGCTATCCTGTATACTTGCTAAAGGGTAAGCAGATGGACTGGGGTACGTTGTAATGTGGTTTTACATGTTATAAAGAGAGTAGTGAGTGACGCAATTTATAGTTTTAATTTGTACGTCACACCAAGTGTGGGACTCAAGGACTCGGGTTAATGGAGAGGGGAGACTCGTCACGACCAGCTCATTTCTAGGATCCGGGTTAATGATCCGGATGAATCAGGACTCGCCCATCTCTACATCTACGCACACACTGCACCACACACACCTACACCACACACACGCACCTACAGCTCCTAAAGCATATAATCAGGCTACAGCCGTTGTGTATTTTATTATGTGAAGCACTAAATGGTTTTAGAAAAATATCGAATTTGTTTGTAGATATCTACTAAACTAAAGCAAATAAAGAGAGTAGGCCTGTTATACTGAGTGATATGATATATATTATACACACTGCTCTGCTTTCTGCACGGACCTCACAGCTGTTCTCACTGTAAACATCGCGTCGCGATGAAAGCAGTTAATAAAATAATATCCAGGGCATGCATGCAGAGCTGTCATTGGCTGAGAGAAGTCCGGCCGTGCGTCTCGACTCTTTGAAACATCACTGTTGCCGGAAATGCATCCACGAAGGAGCCGTGGAGGACCGTGGAGGACCCATCAGTGTATCCTCGGTTATAGCTCCTCCAGAGAGCCTCCTCGACGCTCGATGCTCGGTCCTCGATGTGCATTTCGAGAAATGAGATGTCCTTCAACATGGCGCGCTAAAATTCATTTCCGGGTCACTACCGGAGGACCGAGGAGTCGAGGAGTCGAGGAGGGACATTTGATGACATGAGAAAGGGCCATGGTACTGACACCTGACGTGTTTTGGACGTCTTTGTTTACATTAGCAAGCCTCGCTAACACTCAGAGCTAACCTGTAGCCTACTGTAGAGCACATGTGTTTAAAAAGCAGGAAATAAAAAAAGAACTCCCCTTGTGGTAAACCTGCAAGAGAAAAAGCCTTTGAGCTCCATACTATTTCAGAAATAATCCTTGACGTGGTTTAAACAGGATGGCGTTTTACAGCAGAATTTAACTTTTTATCTCCGGTAGAATTCTGATCAGGCATTTGCTCCGCCTCCTCTTCTTTATTTTTTCAAGCTAAGGACCTAAAATCTGCGTTTTTCTAACAGGGCTTCAAAAGAGGGGTTTGAGCAGTATGAGGCATGGCTACAATGGGTGATCTGTTTGGTATTTTGAAAAAAAAAAACTCACAGACATGTTTTATATAGGTATGGCCCTACAATATATTTTTCAAATATAGCACTTTAAACAACTTCTAACGTACTCAAAACTAACAAACATTCAATCATTTTCAGGATTTCAGGACCCTTTAAATGCCTGTTTCATTATTTGAATTATCTTATTATTTATGACAAAAAAACACAAAAAATGAATTTATTTCATGGCCTAGAACAACCTCAACCTATACAAGTCACCACGTAAGCCATTCTACTGATGCTGGACAGTTTTTCAGTGGGTGCACAATAAACGGCAACATACACATTAATGTAAATAAATAGCCAAATAATGGATCAATGCTCTCTGTCTAATATGTTCGCTAGCTGTTAGTGTTGTTGCATAGCAACCACCTCGCTGTTTTGTGCAGAAGGCAACGGAGGGACTATTTTATTTTGAACATCATTATTTACTAATAAAAACTATTTAAATTAGAGTGTGTATTTTTCTTTCATATTGCCACACTTGGTAACCGTTTTATAAAAGCAATAGCTCACGACAGGCCGTGGTATATGCTCCGCTTCGCGTCGGGCCGAACCACGCCCCTTAGCTGTGATATAATGAGCATATACCACGGCCTGTCGTGAGCTTGTAAGTCTACCCTACTTTTATAATTTCCAAATCATAAATCTAGATTTATGATTAGAAAATTATAAAAGTAGTAGTAGTTGCATTGCTTTTTTGTCGAGGGAACCAGAAGGTACCC